TCAGCAGAAGTTCAGAAAATGATATATTCTCTACACAGTAAGTCAAAAGTCGAGCCCACCCTTGTTTCCAAGGTAAAACGCAATACAAATATGAAACAGACTATAGCTTAAAAACTAGTTAATCAATAATTCATTTATCACCAAAAAATACGGTTTCACATCAAATTTCAAGTAAAACAACTGTTTTTGACACTTTTTGAGCACTATGATTACGCAATGTCGACTCTGTATAGATTGATATAAACAATTAATTTCCCCATAGGCGACAATGATAGCCTTTTTTGAGATACAGACTTTAGAAAGTTGATTTTTTAAACGAAACCTTGCTAGAATTACAGAAAAGTTATTCGGACAGTATTTTTTGGTCCAAAAAATATAGGTTCGCGTTGCTTTTCTTAACGTATTTTGTACTTATCTCCCATGCCTATCAATTTTGCACTTAAAAATACGTGTCTCGTCCTAGCGTTAAAAAGACATCTCATTTCCGTTAGGGCTAAGGAAAATAATTTGTTTGGCCTTTGATAAAATGCAGAATGCACGAAGTCTCTAATAATAAAAAAATAACGGGCGCACATATCAACCAATCAGGATTAGCCATACTCTTAATTCTGAATACCATGTTATGCTCATAAAATGGCTGCGCCCATACAATCTAATGGTGTATTGTAACCTATACGGTATTTAATACTTTCTAGAATCATGCAATTCATAGTGCGTTAGATGCACAAATATATATGCCACACATAAATCAGCTTCAAATCGTTCTGGCATTACTCTCTGAATTTTCACAATTTTTTTTCAGAGGTGACCCCAGTCGAAAAATGTGAGAAAAAAAATTCTGATTTTTTTAGTAAATGCGGTACTGCTAAAAAGTTCCTGAAGATAATGTCCACTTTCTCCAATGATTCTTTATATGTCATCAAGTACTGATTATATTGATACCAAAACCGATCCAATATGTAACTACTACGGTAAATTTGGAACAACAGTTTTAAATGAAACCATTTTCGTATAAAAGTACATTTTTGAAACAGACTATAGCATTTCAAATTATGAAAAATGTGTAAATATTGGTGTTTAAACATCGAAAACTATTCGTTAACTACAAAATGTCATGTCTATTCTAATTTTTATAGTTTGTCATTCGAGTGAACATTTCAATGTTCGAAGGGGACCATTTCTGTACATTTTCACTAAATTTTGTAATTTCGATAACAGCACTTGGGTCGATATTATCATGTTTAAAAATCGATTTTTATATCTAAACTCTAGACGTGTACGTGCTTTTTTCAAACAAATCAGCAGAAGTTCAGAAAATGATATATTCTCTACACAGTAAGTCAAAAGTCGAGCCCACCCTTGTTTCCAAGGTAAAACGCAATACAAATATGAAACAGACTATAGCTTAAAAACTAGTTAATCAATAATTCATTTATCACCAAAAAATACGGTTTCACATCAAATTTCAAGTAAAACAACTGTTTTTGACACTTTTTGAGCACTATGATTACGCAATGTCGACTCTGTATAGATTGATATAAACAATTAATTTCCCCATAGGCGACAATGATAGCCTTTTTTGAGATACAGACTTTAGAAAGTTGATTTTTTAAACGAAACCTTGCTAGAATTACAGAAAAGTTATTCGGACAGTATTTTTTGGTCCAAAAAATATAGGTTCGCGTTGCTTTTCTTAACGTATTTTGTACTTATCTCCCATGCCTATCAATTTTGCACTTAAAAATACGTGTCTCGTCCTAGCGTTAAAAAGACATCTCATTTCCGTTAGGGCTAAGGAAAATAATTTGTTTGGCCTTTGATAAAATGCAGAATGCACGAAGTCTCTAATAATAAAAAAATAACGGGCGCACATATCAACCAATCAGGATTAGCCATACTCTTAATTCTGAATACCATGTTATGCTCATAAAATGGCTGCGCCCATACAATCTAATGGTGTATTGTAACCTATACGGTATTTAATACTTTCTAGAATCATGCAATTCATAGTGCGTTAGATGCACAAATATATATGCCACACATAAATCAGCTTCAAATCGTTCTGGCATTACTCTCTGAATTTTCACAATTTTTTTTCAGAGGTGACCCCAGTCGAAAAATGTGAGAAAAAAAATTCTGATTTTTTTAGTAAATGCGGTACTGCTAAAAAGTTCCTGAAGATAATGTCCACTTTCTCCAATGATTCTTTATATGTCATCAAGTACTGATTATATTGATACCAAAACCGATCCAATATGTAACTACTACGGTAAATTTGGAACAACAGTTTTAAATGAAACCATTTTCGTATAAAAGTACATTTTTGAAACAGACTATAGCATTTCAAATTATGAAAAATGTGTAAATATTGGTGTTTAAACATCGAAAACTATTCGTTAACTACAAAATGTCATGTCTATTCTAATTTTTATAGTTTGTCATTCGAGTGAACATTTCAATGTTCGAAGGGGACCATTTCTGTACATTTTCACTAAATTTTGTAATTTCGATAACAGCACTTGGGTCGATATTATCATGTTTAAAAATCGATTTTTATATCTAAACTCTAGACGTGTACGTGCTTTTTTCAAACAAATCAGCAGAAGTTCAGAAAATGATATATTCTCTACACAGTAAGTCAAAAGTCGAGCCCACCCTTGTTTCCAAGGTAAAACGCAATACAAATATGAAACAGACTATAGCTTAAAAACTAGTTAATCAATAATTCATTTATCACCAAAAAATACGGTTTCACATCAAATTTCAAGTAAAACAACTGTTTTTGACACTTTTTGAGCACTATGATTACGCAATGTCGACTCTGTATAGATTGATATAAACAATTAATTTCCCCATAGGCGACAATGATAGCCTTTTTTGAGATACAGACTTTAGAAAGTTGATTTTTTAAACGAAACCTTGCTAGAATTACAGAAAAGTTATTCGGACAGTATTTTTTGGTCCAAAAAATATAGGTTCGCGTTGCTTTTCTTAACGTATTTTGTACTTATCTCCCATGCCTATCAATTTTGCACTTAAAAATACGTGTCTCGTCCTAGCGTTAAAAAGACATCTCATTTCCGTTAGGGCTAAGGAAAATAATTTGTTTGGCCTTTGATAAAATGCAGAATGCACGAAGTCTCTAATAATAAAAAAATAACGGGCGCACATATCAACCAATCAGGATTAGCCATACTCTTAATTCTGAATACCATGTTATGCTCATAAAATGGCTGCGCCCATACAATCTAATGGTGTATTGTAACCTATACGGTATTTAATACTTTCTAGAATCATGCAATTCATAGTGCGTTAGATGCACAAATATATATGCCACACATAAATCAGCTTCAAATCGTTCTGGCATTACTCTCTGAATTTTCACAATTTTTTTTCAGAGGTGACCCCAGTCGAAAAATGTGAGAAAAAAAATTCTGATTTTTTTAGTAAATGCGGTACTGCTAAAAAGTTCCTGAAGATAATGTCCACTTTCTCCAATGATTCTTTATATGTCATCAAGTACTGATTATATTGATACCAAAACCGATCCAATATGTAACTACTACGGTAAATTTGGAACAACAGTTTTAAATGAAACCATTTTCGTATAAAAGTACATTTTTGAAACAGACTATAGCATTTCAAATTATGAAAAATGTGTAAATATTGGTGTTTAAACATCGAAAACTATTCGTTAACTACAAAATGTCATGTCTATTCTAATTTTTATAGTTTGTCATTCGAGTGAACATTTCAATGTTCGAAGGGGACCATTTCTGTACATTTTCACTAAATTTTGTAATTTCGATAACAGCACTTGGGTCGATATTATCATGTTTAAAAATCGATTTTTATATCTAAACTCTAGACGTGTACGTGCTTTTTTCAAACAAATCAGCAGAAGTTCAGAAAATGATATATTCTCTACACAGTAAGTCAAAAGTCGAGCCCACCCTTGTTTCCAAGGTAAAACGCAATACAAATATGAAACAGACTATAGCTTAAAAACTAGTTAATCAATAATTCATTTATCACCAAAAAATACGGTTTCACATCAAATTTCAAGTAAAACAACTGTTTTTGACACTTTTTGAGCACTATGATTACGCAATGTCGACTCTGTATAGATTGATATAAACAATTAATTTCCCCATAGGCGACAATGATAGCCTTTTTTGAGATACAGACTTTAGAAAGTTGATTTTTTAAACGAAACCTTGCTAGAATTACAGAAAAGTTATTCGGACAGTATTTTTTGGTCCAAAAAATATAGGTTCGCGTTGCTTTTCTTAACGTATTTTGTACTTATCTCCCATGCCTATCAATTTTGCACTTAAAAATACGTGTCTCGTCCTAGCGTTAAAAAGACATCTCATTTCCGTTAGGGCTAAGGAAAATAATTTGTTTGGCCTTTGATAAAATGCAGAATGCACGAAGTCTCTAATAATAAAAAAATAACGGGCGCACATATCAACCAATCAGGATTAGCCATACTCTTAATTCTGAATACCATGTTATGCTCATAAATTGGCTGCGCCCATACAATCTAATGGTGTATTGTAACCTTGAGAACTTTATTTAACAACAAAGAAATGATTTGAGCTTTCCCATTGTTATTGTGAACTTTCAATTGTATAAGACGTGTATATATCTACTACTTAATGTGATATTCCAGAGATTTCTTTACCTTTCATATTTCGATAAATGGATACTGCTGACAAGAAAGTTATTAAACTTAGGTTTCCTCGTGGTCAAATTGAGTTCATTCCTTCGAAAATGTTACTGGTGCCATTATGGTTTGAAGAATAATGCTTCGAACGGTTGCTTTAGAAAGTTAAAGCTATATGAATATATTAAGAACTATATAACTATAAATATCTAACAAATCTAATTTTAAAATTCGGTATATTGATAAGTCGTTTATGTTTTTAATTCTGAGTTTATCATAGGATCTTACCTTATTTCTATTACATATTGTATAATCATATTTAGAAACCTACCTATCCAATATTCTCCTGTAGCCACACCAAATCCCCTTTTGTAAGCATTCCACTCTTGATAAAAATCAACAAAACCATTAAATCGTTTTTGTATGACCTACAAATTAGAACAAAAATAATTGGAACGGCAACAATGACCGCACAACAAAGTCCAATAAACGGAAAAAGTTAAATTTTAAAGATATAAAACGACTGTCTGTAAAGGACATTCAATACATAAACAAAGTTCTTATGTCTCTAAAGTTTTCGTTAAGATGTAACGGGTATTCACTCTGAAATATAAAAAGTATTTGCGACTCAAGATTGAAAGTCCTCTAGTCAGATATTTAACATGTGTCTATAGACGAAAACAATACAATTCTCGTTGAGATTTTTTCAAATAGATTATATAATATTTCTATGGAACAATCTTTAAGACTTTTGATACAGTTTAACCTAACATGTAAAATATGTTGTTCACGTTTATATGTTTCATTTTGTTTAATTAACCCACATGATTAAAGTCAACAATACAATTCTCGTTGAGATTTTTTCAAATAGATTATATAATGTTTCCATGGAACAATCTTTAAGATTTTTGATACAGTTTAACCTAGCATGTAAAATATGTTGTTCAAGTTTATTTGTTTCATTTTGTTTAATTAACCCACATGATTAAAGTCATATGAAACGAGTTTCTTGAAATTTAATGTTATCAAAATTATTGAACCAATGCATGTATATATACTAAACTAAGTCTTGTATGCACGTTTTTTTATATTTATTACGAATCTATAACGTATTATCGGCATATAATATTTAATTCAGTGATTGATGATCGCAAGCTAATTAACTTTCGAGTTTGTTGCCGGAGTTTACCGGATCGTGACATTGATAAAGAATAAACACAGAGCACGTCGAAAACGTCACAAATAAGTGAATTGAAAGAGCCATGACAATAGTTTTTATATTTTCCATGCGTTCCCATTGGTTCATTAAACTTTTCCTTAACAGTTGTTAAATGATTTGGTGTACCATATTTATTCTTTAAGAATCTGTTGTTACTATTTACCTTCCAGAGCACGTTTGTTTACATTCTTTCATCACGGTTTTCCCCTCGCACTTAAGCTGTGCGGTGGCCGAAGTTACAACAAGAGGGCTCGTAGTTAAGGTCACTGCATACGGGAAAATATCGGCGAATTAGTGTTTGTGAAGTCAATAATTCAATTTCGGTACATTTATGAAAATTTTGATAATATTAAGGATTTTCTTTTAAAAGAAAGTTCACGTACACTTATTTTATAGTAAAACTTAGCCATTTAGGTATATAAAACATAATAAACTCATTTTTTTTAAATTTGAAGTTTCATATGACTTTAATTACATGTATCGTATGTTGTAGTTGTTTCAAGCAGCATTTTTGATATAATTTTAAACTACATATTATTATTATTATAATATTAAAAACCTAATCGTGGATTCAACATGACATAGTTTATGATATTTCATTAACTGTCATTAAAACTCAGAAAATGGGATACTAGTAATAGAATTTTAGATTAATAGTTAGCATAAATGTACTTTTTTTACAAAGCACTAAGCAAGATACTTTAAAAAATGCACTGTACTGTATGTACATGAACTAAGAAAAACAAAGAAAGAAGAATTGTAGAACTGCATGTTCTTTGTAGATCACTTAAATGAAAAATATTACCGTCCACTTTTCATTGTTAGCCATTATACAATATGCCTTCACTGCATGATATTCGTCAGGGTATATCTTATAAACGCCCGTGTTTGCACTGTTTAAGTCATCGCATTCTCTAGGGCGACCATTTCCTATAGACAAATGTGATTTTCAATTTTTTTATTATGAAAGACAAACAAATGATACCAAGCAGATATTCAAACTCATAAGTCAATGAAAACTGATAACGCCATGGCAACAATCTAATTAAAATCAGCTGTTAGGTTTCGCTACGATACTCTCCACCTTAGAGGGAGCGTATCACAACATCGGATTTTAATCAGATTTCCATGGAAAAAAAACGATTAAAGGCACCAGTTTAAAAAACACAAGCAATACGATCTCCAATAAAACAAGGGTGACCTCAGGTGCTCCGGAAGGGTCATCTAGTCAACATAAAAGGTCATATAGTGAATTTTCCTATGTCGAATGTACAACACCTTCTGGAATTTATCCACGAAAGTTTTAAAAGATAGTTTGGCCTCTGTATGTTCATGTACAATTGAACTTCTCAATAAATCCTTGTTTTCAGTGTTAAGAACGTATCTGGTTTTCGTAATTCCGGAGTAGCCTCTAATTAAGGTGGGTATTTCTGCTCTCCACAAATAACTGATCAGATGTGTGTTGTCAAATTTTCAGGAAATAAGTAGAAATGTAAGATCACCACAAGGACTTGTAATATGTATTTTGGATATCAATTAATTAGAAGAATTATATACAGAAGATTACCACAAAGAGTTTACAAGATGTGTTTTTCAGTAAACAGAAAGAAACATAGAATTATCACAAAGAATGTACCAGATGTGTTTTGTTTATCAGAAATTAGTAGTAATCGTAAATAAATACCTTATATGATGTGTTTTGTTTATAAGTATAGAACTACCACAAAGAACGCACAAGATGTGATGTGATTTGTAGGATGTGTTTTGTTTAAAAGTATAGAATTACCACAAAGAACGCACCAGATGTGATTTGTTTATCAATAAAAAAGAAGATACAATAGATTACCGCAAAGATCGTTTCAGATGTGTTTTATTTATCAGTAAACAAGAACAAACAGATAGAATTACCACAAAGAACGTACCAGATGTCTTTTGTTTGTCGGTAATGAGGAGTACTAGTAACAGAAGATTACCGAAAAGAGCTTACAACATGCGTTTTTTTTTTAACAGATAACAAACAGGAAGAAAATAGAATTGCCACAAAGAACGTACTAGATGTGTTATGTTTATTAACAAACAAGAAGATACAAAAGATTACTACAAAGAACGTCCCAGATGTGTATGGTTTATCAGTAAACAAGACATAGCATAAGATTACCACAAATATACTTTTCAGGTGTGTTCTGTTTATCAGAAAACAAGAAGAAACATAAGATAAAACACAGAAAGTACCAGATCACCAAAAAAAAAAGAAATATAAGATTTCATCGTAGAACTTACCAGATGTGTTCTGTTTGACAGCATCGTCACATGCTGCATTCAAATTACAAACATTTGACTTATTGCAACAACCTTTACAAAGCATATGATGGCCTTCTGCTAATCTCTTGCCAAATATCACATCGGGTCTTTTATTGACACAAAGCTAAACACAAAATATATTTGTCTAAAGTATTTAAAAGCATTTATGGATAAACTGTGAATAAGTACATGACAAATTAACTGATATTTTACGTTGGAAAATTTGAGGAATTGATGTATATGATACAGGAACAAATCCAACAGGCTTTCATTCCTGTTCTTCATTTTGACAGTCTCAACGGCAGATTCCAATCAAAACAAGAAGCAACTTTTTCCGAAACAGAAATAGTATAAGATACATGAAAACATCTGATCAACTTTTTGTAAAATCTTGCCTAAACGTCTGATTTATTGTATTCTAACATGATTTGAAAACGAGACAAAAATTAAGATATACTATATTTTAGCAATATTGTTTGTTGCAAAGATAACGACAACAACTGGAGTGCTGTAAACTTGTCATTTTTTTATTTTTCAAGAAGGGGTCAAATATTGCATTTCTGCAACAATCTATAGTCAGAACAATAAACAAACAAAAAAGTTTTATAACGGTGTTAATGACTTGTGAATTTTTGAAAATATTCCCGCATTCATAATGACTTTTGTGGTTGCAAATATTACGTAACGTTAAACCTCAGATGATAAGCTTTCAAAAAAAAATAAATATCTGCAAGTGTACCCTTTAGGAAAACGGCAGGGAAGGTTTTTTTTTAACCTTGATCAATATCTCGTGCAAGTAAATTATCATAACTGTAGGACCCAGTGAGTATTTGGAATACGAAGAATACATAGTCTGGGAGAAAATGGTTTATTTATTAGTTTTATTTTGCTTTGAATTACCTTTCAGTCACTTCGAATAATCTAATATAGGTACTTTGGTCTTTTTGTTAGTTGCTTTTGTGTTCCGTGGCATTTATATGAGTTAAACCATTGCCAGCTGATTTTTACAGCTTGTTCCTACGTTTTATTGTTACACCACTTTCCCATGTTAGGGCAGTGTTGAGTGCTAACAAACCTGTTTAACCCGCCACATTCTTATGTGTCTGTCCCAAGTCAAGAGATTTTAAATCAGGAGTTGTGGTTGGTTGCTGTTGTCATATTTGATTTTCTTTTATTGTTTTTTCATAGATCATTCCGTTGATTTTCTTCTTTGAATTGTTTCATATCTTTGTCTTACCGGTGCCTTTTATAGCGTACTATACGCTATGAGATTTGCTCATTCTTGAAGGTCTTACGGAGACCTATAGTTGCTTACAGTCATGATATTTGGTCTAAGGTGGATATTTGTCTCATTGGCAATCATACCAAATCTCCTTATTTTTATAGAACATCTCATACCTCCGGCAATGTACATCCAAAATCATATTGTTCAACTCCGGATTCAGTAGCATACTTGTGAATGAAACACACCTGAAAAATTAAGCATCTTTATTAAACTTCGCTGCATGAATTTACTTAAAATAAGGTTAACTGTTCAGAAAATGAATGGTTACAACTGATCTGTGTCGGGGGGAGGGGGGACCCGGATATTCTAAGTATCTTCACAGAGGGACTAGAGTTATATAGTTGGCATGGTCGTATGCAAATTACAAGCTTTTGTGTCGACATGAATTATATCCAATTTAGAATTTAGCAATATAAATGTTTGTAATACATTTATTCAAACTACTAAAACACCTTCCTTTATATTTAAATAACAAAAACCTGTATATCCTTTTACTCATAAAATAAACAGGAAAGCCAGAAGGTAGAAGTAATAAGTTTAATGCATCAATTTTCGTTCTAATCGATATGTGCGGTCTAAAGGTTTAGGACAAATGCATAATTTATCAGATTTCGTGTCAAAATGAGTGGTATAATAAAAGGATTAATGATTTATCAGGTTTCATGACAAAATCAGGTATGATAACTATATCATATACAGTTTCCTACGTTATATATTTTTTTAAAGAGTTGAACAAAGCACACTTCTTTTTAGCTCACCGGGGCCCGAAGGGCCCCATGTGAGCTTATGCCATCACTTGGCGTCCGTCGTCGTCCGTCGTCTGTCGTCTGTCGTCGTCGTCTGTTGTCGTCTGTTGTCGTCTGTCGTCGTAAACTATTTAAAAAATCTTCTCCTCTGAAACTACTGGGCCAAATACCTTCAAACTTTAACTAAATGTTCCTTAGGGTATCTAGTTTATAAATTGTATCCGAAGTTTTGATCCATCAACAAACCTGGCCGCCATGGCTAAAGATAAAACATAGGGGTCAAATGCAGTTTTTGGCTTATATCTCAAAAACCAAAGCTTTTAGAGCAAATGTGACATGAGGTAAAATTGTTCAATTGGTCAAGATCTATGAGCTCTGAAATTTTCAGACGAATCGAACAACCCATTGTTGGGTTGCTGCCACCAAATTGGTAGTTTTAACAAAATTTTGCAGTTTTTTGTTATTATTTTGAATATTATTATAGATATATATAAACTGTAAGCAGCAATAATGTTCAGCAAAGTAAGATCTTCAAAAAAGTTAATATGACCATAATTGTCAATTGACCCCTTAAGGAGTTATTTCCCTTTAAAGACAATTTTACACAATGTGTTCATCAAGTTTGCTAACATTTAAAAATCTTCTCCTCTGAAACTACTGGGCCAATTACCTTCACACTTTAACTAAATGTTTCTTAGGGTATCTTGTTTATAAATTGTATCCGAAGTTTGTATCCATCGACAAACATGGCCGCCATGGCTAAAAATAGAACATAAGGGTCAAATGCAGTTTTTGGCTTATATCTCAAAAAACTAAATCTTTTAGAGCAAATGTGACATGTGGTCAAATTGTTTAATTGGTCAAGATCTATCGGCCCTGAAATTTTCAGACGAATCAAACATCCCATTGTTGGGTTGCTGCCACCAAATTGGTAGTTTTAACAAAATTTTGCAGTTTTTTGTTATTATTTTGAATATTATTATAGATATATATAAACTGTAAGCAGCAATAATGTTCAGCAAAGTAAGATCTTCAAAAAAGTTGATATGACCATAATTGTCAATTGACCCCTTAAGGAGTTATTTTCCTTTAAAGACAATTTTACACAATTTGTTCATCAAGTTTGCTAACATTTAAAAATCTTCTCCTCTGAAACTACTGGGCTAATAACCTTCAAACTTTAACTAAATGTTTCTTAGGGTATCTTGTTTATAAATTGTATCCGAAGTTTGTATCCATCGACAAACATGGCCGCCATGGCTAAAAATAGAACATAAGGGTCAAATGCAGTTTTTGGCTTATATCTCAAAAAACTAAATCTTTTAGAGCAAATGTGACATGGGGTCAAATTGTTTAATTGGTCAAGATCTATCGGCCCTGAAATTTTCAGACGAATCAAACATCCCATTGTTGGGTTGCTGCCACCAAATTGGTAGTTTTAACAAAATTTTGCAGTTTTTTGTTATTATTTTGAATATTATTATAGATATATATAAACTGTAAGCAGCAATAATGTTCAGCAAAGTAAGATCTTCAAAAAAGTTAATATGACCATAATTGTCAATTGACCCCTTAAGGAGTTATTTCCCTTTAAAGACAATTTTACACAATTTGTTCATCAAGTTTGCTAACATTTAAAAGTCTTCTCCTCTGAAATACAGGTGAGCGATCCAGGCTCTTGAGAGCCTCTTGTTTATTTAGCTGCAGTACCTAACTTGAAGGTTGGTAAATATTCTAAATAAAAAGTAAATACAAATCTTAGAGTTAGGATTGGGTGTTGTCGTATCTAAATTTTCTTCGAATTATTTTCAGAGGCTATTTTCTGTATATGTCTGAGTCTCAACAATAATGTTATTTCTCCTTCAAATCCACAATGGGATAATTGATAAAAAAAAAATATGAACTCGATCTACCTACATTAAAAAACATGGAAAAAAAATCAACTTCATTTTTAAACGATAAGATGATTTAAGCAATCGTCAAATTTTAATTTCAAGCATTCAAATGCAGCAACATCTAGACAACGTTAACACATTATGGCAAACTCAAATGAACTATTTAAAGTGTAATAATTAGTGATAATATAAGCCCATTTTAAGATAATCTTATAAATGTACATAAGTACTCAAAATAGTTTGGCAAATTTGTTCTTTAAGAGGTAAATATATAAGAAAAGAAGAACAATTTCTTCAATTTTCTATTTTGACTTCATGACATGAATGTTGTTCGCAGCATCGTCGAGAAAGTAATTCAAAATGCATATGTTATGCTATTTTTACCATCTTAAGTTTCGTCCCATGTTTGTTCCACTTTTACCATCTTATGTTTCGTCACATGTGTGTTTGTTCCACAAATATGTTCGTCAATGCAACATGTCAATAACAGATTGATTAATTTGTAAGTGTTTTTCGTCCATTGGCAAATATTTCACACATATTCATGACGAGAACAATTTAGCAATAAAACAAAAACATAAATAAATAATTGGTTTATCGGGATTAAGGGCGGGAAAGTTTGTAACGTCCCCATTCCAACCGGACGTGACCGTGCATTTATACATCCCTCACAGCCATATTACAGTACAGGTGACCATATTTCTACATATAACCCTTGGGATTAAAAGATGCCAATATGAAATATAGTAGGTGTATTGTTCATGTAGTAGGTCAATGACATTAAACCTTAAAGACAACTAAAATGACGTCACGAAAAGATAAGGTCAAATGCAGGCCGAATCACCCCTTATCTCACTTAACACACCTTCCCAACCTTTGGAAAAAAATAATTGAAGATTTCTAGAACATCGTTTTGACGAGTTACTGCTGAAAATACAGCATTTTATAGATCCTAAAAAAAATAGAATTGCCTTATTAAGTCGATCAGTATACAAATACTAGTAATAAGCATTAATTGCCATTTGACCCAGCTTATCTAATCAAGAAAGAATAAACACGAATCATTCATCCTTGCATGAACACGAGTCGATAGCTGTAGAAAACATTAATGCTGATGTATATCATGTATAATGTTTGTAAGCCATTGGCCCATTTGGGCGTAAAGTGCTTTTTCAATAAAGTAAATTAATGCTGATGTATATTTACCATTCCCAATTTGAAAAATAGTAGTATTTCATAAATTTACTTCTATAAATTAAAATCAGTCACATACAAGTTTAATAGTACCTCATTGCTGTTGCAAGTCTCCAAGTGCGTACAGTCATTTATGTTTTGAACTCCAGTACATGACACACAAGTTCTCCCGGACTCTAAAACAGTATAATTTTAAGTTGAGAAACTCTCTTATATTTGCAATATATGGATTTGAGGAAAGCGAAAAGTGACATCACTTACAGAATACCTACTATATATCACTATCTGGTCTTGTCGCGAAATAACAACATGATAGTTTTAATTCAACTATTCGTATAGTCTTTACTTTATGTGTTTATCAATAATATCATAGACAGTATATCCAAATGGGGCTATTTTCAAAGTGTTACAGTTAATCACTTAGTTTGAAGTCATCATGCCAATATTTAAGACAAATTTTACAAAATGTGAATGATTCTAACAGACTGTTGTCTTACGAACATCATTCCCGACGGATGTTATTTGGTAGATATATAATACTTTTTTTAGATTCTCAAATTCAAGGGCAAAGAAAGGGAGCTTTATCACACTTTTTCCTTTATAAAAAAAAAGTTGTTTTTTATTCATTAACAAAGTTGCTTTGGTTTTTGGCTACCTGTATGTTTGCATACAATTGTTCTGGGTGTCCGCTTACAATGCTTCAAGCTTTAATTTAAGTTTGTTAAGACACTAAAATTCATCTCTCTTTTTAGATGTCGGGCTTTGTATTTAGTATATTATTTGCTCTTAGTATTAAACCGATTCATTTCTCCATCAATTTCACCTGATCGAGTGTCACTCAAACGGCTATGTAAATAAAGGGTGTTCTATTCAAGAATAGCTAAACAGTGACAATGAGTTCTATTCATCTAATGATTGCTATTTATCTAATTTTCAGTTGAAAATATTTCATTCATACTCAGGACATGAAAAATTAACAACTAATACAAAACATAGTTTTATCGAGATGAAATGCAGGAAATTAGGACTGCCACTGGAAAATAAATGACTGCTGGATATAGGTAGATATTTTTCTTTACAACAGTCTTCATATGGACCCCTCAGAGAGTAATTGAAAGGGTTCTTTGACGAACAGAGAACGTGGTGGCAGGCACCCTACACGAGACATTAAATTACATTGTCCGTTCTGACCATACGTTGCTGCGTATGTATACAACCCACATAGCCAAACGGACGCCGCACTAGAAAAGGTTATACTGTTGGACGGAAAAGTCTATATCTGGCCATCGTTCTATACCCCAGTCAATCCTTAGAGTCTATTCGTATAATGAATATCTACTTACACATATTTATTACAAACAGTAAAAGAACACGTGTTAATTATTAGACTTTAATCTAAAATAAAGACCGAAAACGTCAACAAAAACAAGTTTGCAGCGTGTGCTCGCATGTAAAAAATATCTTTATACTATAGCCTATTTGCCAATTCCGTAATTGCCCCTGTAAGTAGAGGTTAGATTTTCTAGTTGCTTCTGACAAAAATGATCGTCAACAATGAAGAGCTAGCGGAAATGCCAAATCTATTTTGTGCGTACTGTGTAATCAAATCGTTTTTATTCCATTTTGTTCGGTTAAACATTTTTGATATCAATAGTTGTTTTTTATTTTATAAACAAATGATTAAAACGCCCATATCCCTTTCACAATTACCATCATATGCAAGGGGAGCAGCCTATTTTGTCCGGTATAGAACCACTCTAAAAATGGCAAAAGGAAACAACCTGTGTTTTTAAGTGTGTAATAACGGAATCAAATCGGGACAAAAAGACTATTGAGTGAATATTTTGAGTCATCTTTTGTCTTTCCTGGCTCTTATTTTGCACATGGGAATAAACATACCAGAACTATTGTGGTTTACAGGAACATCTCCACACTCTGTATTCATATTGCAAACGTTTGTGTCGTTACAACAACCTTGACATGTCAAATGATGACCTTCTGTTAATTCTCTTGTCTTTTTTTTTGTGCATAACTAAAAACATATAGTTATATAATATGGTACACCAATACATTTATATATAATGCTTAACAAATCAAGTTCAGTGTGCATGATAATTGTTTGCTGACTAAACTTCTGCAGATGATCTCTAATGGCAAATCTTTGATCGTTTATGGTAAATTCATTCACAACTTTTACAGACTCGTGCGATTAAGAGCTTGGTTATTGCGTGGACACCTGTCTATTGTTGAGGACTGTGTGTTGCTCTGTATTTTGTGTCGGTGTGTTTCTGTTTTATTGACGTATACCTCAGATCTCCTTTTAATTTTGATTATCCATATGTTTAAAAAGCCATGTAATTAAATGTGTGTGGGCATTAAAACCTAGTAGGATTCAATAGAACAGCAAAAATAATTTAAGGTCAATAAAGCCTTATACCCTCTTCACATACACGGTTTTTTGTTAGGAGTTCTTACGGATCGCCAACTCGAAGTAAATCACAAGCATCCGTAAATAAATCGTTACATCTCGCATACAATCTTAAGGATCCGTGAAGGGAGAATCATATTTTTGACATGTCAAAAATCTTCTTACGATTGTCCACGGATTGATTTTTCCGTAAATAACTCATAAAAATCCGTAATTATAATTAAACCGCACGTAAACCGTCCGCAAGAACTAGTAGCCATCCGTACACCACAAGAATCCGTAAATGACTCGTAACCATTTTTTTTACGATTTGTAACGGTTAGTTAACGATTTGTTTGCGGATTATTACGAGTTCTTACATGTACGTGTTGCTCACGATTTCTTTTGGGTCGTGTTACGAAGGCTTTACGGATTATTACGACTTACCATTAGCACCTAACGTGTAGTTACGAATACTAAAGTAAAACGAATAGATACGTATACTTTAAGTATTATTACGTATTGTTTACGATTTGGAGAAAGGTATAATAGCTGCAAAATCGTAGACACGTACATACTCGTAACTTATTCGCTACTATTCGAAACTAACACGTAAAAGCTTCGATGAATAGTAACATTCTATATAATATACTCGTAACAATCCACAAAAAGCTCGTAAAATGCCCGTAAGTTGTTCGTAGTTATCCGTAACAACTCGTAACAAACCGTGGAGTTTTGTCGTAAATACATCGTAAAAACTCAGAACGATTCATAATTCCGTCGTAAAAGTTGACAAATCTTAAAAATCCATGAATTTGTGCAATCTGTAAGGACTCGTAAGAAAAATCCGTGTAGTAAAAGGGGCATTAGGGAGCTGCACTCATAGATTAAAGATGTGAACGATTATTCAAATTTAAAACCTGGAAATTTCCTTAAAATTAATAATTCAATTGATGCTATAGCAAATGACTGGCTCTTACTAGTTACTTTCTTTTCATTACCAGCGTTAACGATCCTTTATCATATCAACTTTATTGTGCACATCACATGCTTTAGAAAAATGTGCATTCCAAATACAAAATATATGATACACTTAAAACAAAACCTTGTACACTTTTTTCGAAATCTTCTCATCTCAGTCAGATACCTTTTTATCGTTCCAAATCGTATAACCGAAATATTTAAGCTTTTAAACTTTTCAATCATTGACTTTGAGTGTTCCTTAGGAAATTTATTCCGAAAATGTAAAATTGAACTAAGAGTAAGGCTGCGAGCTTAATTTGACCTTTGTTGAGACTTTTTTTTTAAGTAAAATTATTTGATATGTTTGACATCGGAAATGCTTTTTATTTGTGTGAGCATACCCAGTGGCGAGTCCGTGGGGGGGGGGGGGGGGGGGGGGGGGGGGGGGGGCCTTTGTTGACGATCAATGTTTTTGAATGGAGACATATGGTTGGAACCCCCATTTTAAAAATGGCTGGATCAGCCCCTGATACCCGATGAAAGTTATATCAGATATGAATTGTACGATGTTTTTATATTGCAGTTTTGATATGATATGCAATAGAAAGTTGTGCAAAGAGCTTATATCTCATTTTAAATGAGAAATTTAATACAATCTAAAATAATGCTTATAAAAAAAGGAGGCAAATATAGAAGAATATAAAGAAAAGGGAGGCAAATATAGAAGAATAAAAACAAGGGAGGCAAATAACGCTAATGAAAAATAGGGAGGCAAATATAGAAGAAACAAGTTTGAGCTTTCTAAAAAGCTGTGGACTGCTTCGCTGTGTCCTAATTTAAGGTAATATGTGTGCATGTGGTTGTTGATTTACCATAAAGCTTGCAATGCGAAGCAATAACATATAATTGTAAACAGCAATAAATATTTAGTTTCAGTGAAAATGATGTTGTTCTACGTTAAGAGTGTGCGTTACACACCCATGTTTTTAAAATTTTGTTCACTTGTTGAAAATTAAAACATTTACAAATAGACACGACTCTGGAGGTGTGCATAGATTGGCAGAAGTTATAAAATACAGATAATGCATTTTTGTGAACATTGTATAGGAACATTGTTTAGCAAAACAAATCGTGCATATTGCAGATTAACAAAGCAAATAAACACGTATTAACAATTGATATTTCAATATTGAATTTCAGTATGCAATATATGTATAATAAAACGAACATGAATTAATGACACGGAACTGAAATACACATAGTTAATTTTTCGGCACTTGATGTCTTATCATGAGACGAGAAAAGTCTGTAATTCTTTATCTCATTTAATCCAATAGCTGTTGCTGTATCTCAGCCGCATCATAAAGCAACCAATCAGAATATATATGTGATAAATAATTATTTCAAGAGGGCGTGTATATCGACTGAAGCTAATAGCTCCGCACCGTGATGCAATGCAATAAAAAAAGGGGGGGGGGGCCTTTGTTGACGATCAATGTTTTTGAATGGAGACATATGGTTGGAACCCCCATTTTAAAAATGGCTGGATCAGCCCCTGATACCCGATGAAAGTTATATCAGATATGAATTGTACGATGTTTTTATATTGCAGTTTTGATATGATATGCAATAGAAAGTTGTGCAAAGAGCTTATATCTCATTTTAAATGAGAAATTTAATACAATCTAAAATAATGCTTATAAAAAAAGGAGGCAAATATAGAAGAATATAAAGAAAAGGGAGGCAAATATAGAAGAATAAAAACAAGGGAGGCAAATAACGCTAATGAAAAATAGGGAGG